CACCAAACTTCTTTGAAAGGGAAAACTTGTTGAGAGGGTGAGTTGCAAAGTGACTTATAAAAGGAACCACAGGAAAAAAAAAAAAAAAAACCCTTTTGGATGAGGGGTCCAACCAAATCTTTTCAAGGGACAAAGAAAATTAGACAAACATTGGATTTCCTCATCCCTTAACCCTCTACAGAAACCAAAATCCCAAGTCAAGGCCGACAGGTTTAACACAGAAGGAAGGAATTTTGAAATCACCTCATTTTTATACAAAGAAACAGGAAACAAGGATGGAAAGAGACCTTTAAGAGGAATATCCCCTGCCCAAGGGGGGATCTCATCTTTATTCTTCTTAATATACGCCTCCTTGTGTTCAGGAGGCTTACGCCTCTTGCGTTCTAAAGGGGGATCTTATTTTTTCTTTATTTTTAATAAAAAATCTTTTATACTAAGAAGAATAAAGATGCATAACATTAGTTGAAAGGGGGGATCTCATTCCTTTTCTCTTTTTTTTCTTCTCTTTCTTTTTCTTTCCCTTCCCTTTCTTTTCCTTTACTTTTTTTTCTTTTTTCTTTTTTTTCTGTCAATTTATATAAGATGTGCATGAGGTGCATGAGGTGTACACCTCTAGCACGCCTCATAAAAAAAGTGCAAGAGGTGTACGCCTTCTTGCACCGAAAGCGTAAGCCTCGGAGGTGTCAGCGCCTCTAGCATACGCCTCAAGGCGTTTTGGGAGCGCCTCGCTTGGAGGCGCACCTCTAGGCATACGCCTCCAACAACTTTTAAAACACTGCAGTGAACCTGATAACATTGAAATCCCCCCCACAAACACCAAGGCCAATCCCACAAACCTCTAATGTCCTCCAGCACCTCCCAGAATTCATTCATTTCCCAATAGTTGCTGGGGCCATACACAAGTCATCACCCAATCAAAACCATCACTATTTTGTCTGAATTTGATTGAAACAATGAATTTACCCACCAATTTCTCAACCCTTGTTAGTACCTCACTGTCCCAGATCGTTTTGATTCCCCCAGATGAAACTCAAGAAGGGTAGACAGTCCACCTCATACCCCTATTCTTTCAAGTACTTCTTTTTTTTATAAATGAGTGATATTTTATTCAAGAAAACAATATGATATTACAGTACAAACTGCCCAAGGAGAGGCACGAGCTGGTAGCTCTCCTAAACAACAACAATGTATTACATCAAACTAGGAATGAAAGTTTACAGAGCTGCACAAAATAAATGTTCCCTTGATACCCCTTGCTTTGCTAACCCATCCACTATGGTATTAGTTGTTCTATCCACCCGCTAAGAATTAACAGTCATGTTCCTTGAAAACCAATTAGCTTTCCTCAGAGTGTCCCCGAACCCCTGTGCCATGCCCCTCAAGGCAAGACCAAACAAGTCCACGTAGGGTCTTAAATTCTTGGTTCTCACACAAAGGCCGCTCAAAGAATCAGGAATGTAATATGTTTCACATCACATTAGCTACTTGAAGTAATGCAGTTGAGAAAAAGAGATTATGGGGTTTACATGCTTGAAAATGTTTTATATGTTCGATTTTATTATTTAATTCTCATTTGAATATGCTTTCCATGTTATGTTTATGTATTTTCATTTTAGATAATAGATTTTTGAAAACATTCATTTTAAAATTTAAGTTTATACTTTTTATTAATATTATGTTTAATATTTTCTTTTTTATTTTTTTGGCATTTTTTTATTTTTCTGACTTTTTATTTTTGCGCCTTGCTTCAAAGAAGCTTGTGCCTTGCCTTGCGCCTTGCGCCTTTTTTGGGCCTTGCACTTTTAAAACACTGGTCTATTGAAAAAACTAGGAAGTTATGCCAACCAAGTCACTTATCCAGATGATGTACTACAGACCCAACCACAGATAGTTGCTACAAACTATCACCTAGATGGGGAGACAATGACTATTTCTAAGGAAGAATATAATCAGTAGGTTGCAGCCTCATCTTCCTCCACCACTACTCTTGCCCGGGCATTAAGTATCAGCTCCACCTGTCTTCTCTCTACCTCATCACCATCTCCATGGGTCATTGACTTAGGAGTTACAAATCACATGTTAGGTACTTCATTTGCCTTTTCTCAATTAAATCCTTTGGCATCTTGCATCCAACATGTTACTCTTGCTAATGGATATAAATCTCTAGTATCTAGGATAGGACATGTGAACCTAGCATCCCAATTGTCTTTATCATCTGTTCTTTATGTACCTCACTTTTGGTTTAGCCTTATGTCTGTGAGTAAGCTTACAAAATCACTAAATTGTTTTGTTACCTTTTATTATGTGTTTTAGGACTTACAAACGAAGAGGCAGATTGGTGGAAGAGTTGAGTTTGGCGATCTTTACTATTTGCAAGGTGACTTAGGACCTACTGCCTTACAGTCTTTCTTTTGGTGTGTCTCCTTTTAGCTTCATTGTCGGTTGGCCCATCCCTCATTGTAGAGTCTTCATGTCATGGTACCTTCACTTCTGACCGACACCAGTTTTGAGTGTGATGCATGTCAACTTAGCAAACATCACCGGGCTGTTTTTCCTCCTTCAGTTATGAGTCGTATGTCTAAATCGTTTCAATTATTTCATTCAGATGTTTGGGGTCTATATCCTGTAGTGTTTTATTTGGAGTTCAAGTACTTTGTTACTTTTGTTGATGACTTTTCAAGGGTTACCTGGTTATATTTGTTAAAGAAGAGATCCAAATTATTTTGTGTATTCAAATCTTTCTTTATGGAAATAAAAACCCAATTTGGCTCTACTATTTGTGTTGTTCAATCTAACAATGCTAAAGAATATCTGTCTTCACCATTTATTGAATTTTACAATGAGAAATGACTAATGAGAAAGACTGGTCCCCTGTCCTTGCAATAAAAAAAAACCTAGATTTGATGCAATATGGATGGCAGCCTGATTATCAGTGTAAGTGCATAGGAGTCTTCACTGGAATTCCAATTTCTTGAAGAAGACTCTTAAGCCACACTAATTCTCCTGTTGCTTGACTCATGGCTCTATACTCAGCTTCTACACTTGATTTAGCTACAACATTTTGCTTTTTGCTCTTCCAGGAAAGAATACTTGTTCTCTAATGAAGTGGCAGTTTACCACAATGACAATGCTAAAGAATACCTGTTCGCTCATGATAATCACCCTGTCTTCGTTAGAGAAAGGATTCAAAGTGGTGACATTGACACACCATTGATGAAGACAAGGGACCAGTTAGCTAATTTATGGACCAAGGCTCTGAATCGTCCTCACATTGATTTCATCACTAACAGGCTGGGTCTAATATGATATATATACTCCAGCTTGAGGGGGAATGTTAGAAGAATAGTCCTTCTGGGTGTATTGGGTGGCAGGAAAGAGATGTCCTTTTATTTTATGTTTTGGACACTCCTGTCCATTATTTATCATAAACAGGAGCACATATGTAACTCAGCACATCTTTAGTACTAATATAAAAGATGGGCCAACTGCTTAGAGTGGATTATGAAGTCTAATCCTTCTCTAAAACAGATTGGTACTTTTCCTCTTTCTCTCTTCTCTATATTCTCTTCTCCTTTCTTCTTTATTTTTTCTGGTTAGAACTCCATTTTAGTTCTGTTGTACCACCTTTCACATTTGAAAAGGAAAAAAAATAATAAAGTATGAGATTTATTGGTCTATTTCATCTTGTGGTGCCCCCTGAAATGGATAAAAGGATTCTAAGCTCCAACTGGTCCATCTGTTTAAGCAGAGACAAATACAGTTTCTCTTATGGATGTATAGAGATGTTTGTTTAATCAATTTATATAGTAGTGAGCTTCTTTGGCCATGGCTACAGCCTGCAAGCAGTGACCAATGCATCATCCATCTTTATTTAAAAGATACAAGAAATTTTAAGATCGTGAAGTAGTAGTCTACATGGGTGCATACTCATGGTTTGAAGGACAAACTGGAGTTGGCAAATGCAATCAAATGATTGAAGGGCCTCATTTGGAGGATGCCTTTTTCGTTTTGTTTTTTTTTTTTTTTTTGCTTGGACAAATTACTTGATTATCTATAAGATAGCAAATCTTTACCCCAAATTAGAGAAGTTCTCTCATCAGTAACATAGAAAAGTTAGTTAAGATATGCTTCCTGCAACAACAAAAAACAATCACCATTCCATGGGAAAAAAAACAAGAAAAAAGAAAAAGAAAAGAGAAGTCTTCACCATCTCAAGAAAGACAAGAAAAATATAGTAAGAAAGCAACCAGCAAAAAGTGGTGGCATGTTGTTGAAATGGTGAAAATTTTGATGGGTACAACAGTGTGAGGTGTGCTCACGGTTCGGTTAACCGAACCGGGGGCTAATTTTTGAAACCAAACCGGGCCGAAACCGAACCGAATTCGATCAGTTAACCAGTTCGGTTAACTGTCAGTTCGGTTTGTCGGTTTTTTGGTTTTTATTATTTACAATATTTATTATAGAAAAATATATAAATACATAATAAAATACTAGAAATACATATAATATTATATTTTAAATAATATATTATATATTTATATATAATCCATATTTATTAATTTGTAATGTATAGAAAATATAAAATATATAATATATAAATATACACAAAACATTTATAAATATATGTATACTGGTCGGTTCAGTTAACCGCTGGTTTTCTATTTTGGTTAACTGAAACAGAACCGGTACCTTCGGTTTTTTAAAATATTGAGCTAAAACCAAACCGACCGGCTTGGTTAACCGAATTTTCGGTTCAGTTTTGGTTGATTTTTTTGTCAGTTCGGTTTTTCGGTTTTTTTGCTCCCCCCTAAAGGTGATTGTGTCATTCAACATGAGAGATAAGGAATGGATCAAACAATGCGAGATGCAAAGAATGGATCAGAAGAAGTACCACTGATGATAATAGGCTCATTTATTACCTCCAAAATAAGCAGACAAGAGGAAGAAGATCAAACAGAGCCTCAGAATTCAAAATATGCAGAAAGGTTTCAGAATAAAACCTGGCCAGTATCAAACAAATTGCAGATGTATATTCCGAAGTCCCGTTGCAGCCACACTATATCCCGATCTGCTCCATGCATGACCTAATTAAGCATGACAAACAATGAAGTAACAATCTCAAATGCCAAACATGTTTACATAGAATAACGAGATCACACCTTTTTCTTAGAGGGGTCTTTGAATATTTCCCTTAGATGAGGACCAATATGAACACGAAGTTTTAGTGTGTCTACTACAAAATCTTCCATTCTCGTAGAAATTTGCATCAAGCAAGTCATTCCTTGGAAGGACCTATACTGGTTGTGTTCCAAATCAACCTAGAAAATAGCATACGAATAATGATTAATCTTGTAAGGACAAAAAGATCTTCATTTTAAATTAATAAGAAAAAGGCATCTTTACTTTGAACTGTTTGACAAGCTTCAAAACAATTGACCTCCAATTCATCAAAAGCAAATACTTAGAGTTCTTAAATAAAATTCAGCAACAAGTTGAGGACCAATGGATGAGAAACCTATCTCCGGTGACAAGATGAGGAACAGTACCTGCTGACAATGTTGCAGGTTGTGAGGATCAAGCTAGCCAATTTTTTAAGGTGATTAAAACACAGAAGGTCTAATAATCAAGTAAACCCATCTCTAGCTCTCCTGGACAGGTTCCTTATCTACACCAAGTGGGAGGATAAATGCCCAAATTCTCTACAAGAAGCATTACCTACACCCCTTTTTCTGATCATATACCATTGATTCTTGATTATGGTGGGGTGAGAAAGAAGCCCAACCTGTTCAGCCTAGAACAGATGTGGTTAGAAGAATATGGATTCTGTAGGAAATCCCAGGAATGGTGGAATAATCCCAGAGTCGAAGGAAAAGAAAGCTAGGTCATGAGGAAGAAGTTTCAGGAGTTAAAGAAGAAAATTAATGGATGATGCAAGAAACACTGTGGTAAGGTGGAAACTAGACTCCAACAATGCTTGAAATTTGGCAGGGAAGAGGGAAGAGGGGGGTTCTTTGAAGAACTGAGCAAGAACAAGAACCTGGCAAAATTGAACTATAATAAGCCAGTTTACAAGGAGTCAAATAGAGACAAATATTGAGGGTGAGATGGTTAAACAAGGCAAAAATAATAATGTCAATAGGGATTTGATAGCTAATGCAAAGAAAAGGAGAAACCAAAAAGTAACTAGCTGTCAATAGGGATTTGACAGTAGAGGAGTTAGTGGAAAAGACAATTGTTGATTTTTAGAAGAATCTATACAAGGAACCTTGCAAGATCGGACAAAAATTAGATGGATGGAGTTTGACACTTTGATTGACAGCCAAGCGGCAGAGTCAGAAACCCCCATACAGAAGACGAAGCAAAGAAACTGATAGCTGGGATGGAGAGGGACAAGGCCCCAGGCCCAAACATGTTCAACATTCTTTTTTACAAGAAGTGCTGGGACATGGTGGGAGAGGACTTGATGAATGTGTTGACTGAATTACATGCTTTGGCAGCACTAGGAAGAAGCCTCAATTCTATGTTTTATTGCACTCATACCAAAAAGGGGGCAGTTCAACTCAAAGAACTTCAAACCAATTAGTCAGATTGACAGTGTCTAAAGACTATACCAAAATTGCTGACCTCAAGAATGAAAAACATCATGGAGTCGATTACCCCTACGTTTCAACGAGCTTTTGTACACAATATCAAATTCTGGACAGTGTACTAATTGCTAATGAACTGGTTGACCCCAGAAAAAGATGTGTGAGGAATGGATTTATATGTAAGGTCAACCTTGAGAAAGCATACAACCATGTCAATTGAGGTTTTTTAGAATGTGCTTCAAAGAAAGCACTTCGGACAGAAATGGAGGATTGTGTAAAAGTATGCATCTCAAACCCTCTTTTCAACACTTGCTAATAAACCAGCTAAAGGAATATACCATAGTTCTCAAGGTTTGAGACAAGGTGACCTGCTCTCACCTTATTTATCCCTTTGCATCATGGAGGATTTGGGTAAAGATGATGGGAAAGGTTTGTTTAGGAAAGCTCATAAAAAAAAGAGTTGTTTAGGAAATTTTGCTAGAAGATTTTCAAGTGGGTAATAGCTTAAGAGTTGCTCTTTTTCAATATGATGATGACACACTCTTTTTCTACGATACATGAAGGGATCAGATTTTAATTTATCAAAAAATAAAAGAAGGGTTTAGATTTTAAATCAGTGGCATCTACTATGCTGGTTTGAAGGGGTATCAATGCTTCAGGTCAATCTATCTATAAGTGAAATGATGACTGTCAGGAGAGGTGCAGAATTTGGATCAACTATCCTCAGCTATGGGGTACAAGATTGGGAGACTTCCATCTAAATATTTGTGCTTGAAATTGGGAGCCAGATGCATAGCCAAAAGTCTATGGATCTAGTAGTGGAGACGGTGGAAAGAAAGCCAGAATCATGGAAGACAAAGTATTTATCGAAAGGAAGCAAACTGACACTGATCGAAAGTGTGTTCCCTAGCCTCCCAACCTATACAAGGGACTTCTTATGCAAAGGGTATAAGGATACTTTAGTTGACTAGGGGAAGGTGTGAACAGCAACAAACAGGTGCAGTTTAGGCATGAGACACTTAAAAGTCACCAATGTTTCTCTACTGGGCAGATGGCTTTGGCATTTCACCATGGACCTCAAAGGTCTTTGGAAGAAAGCTATCATAGCAAAATATGGTTTAAGCAGACGGGGCACCAATGACTCAATTCAGCCTCATTGATATTTGGTAGGATGGGTGTATGCAAAGCTAACCCTCATTTGATTCAAGGGTCAAATACAAGGTGGGCGATAGTAGCAAAATCGTTTTTTGGAGAGACGGTGCACTGCGGACAGTTCCGAAACAAGAGCTCAAAAGACAAGAGGGTGCTGCGGACAGTTCCGAAACACAGCAAATTAATAGTCTTCTTCAAGGAAATCATCTTCTCCGCCTTCCTCATTCCTTACCTCTCCTCCTTCCCCAGGAGCAATCTTCCTTGAGCTTTCTACCCTCTTTACTTTTTCAAAAAACTTCGAAAGCCCTTCTAGTGAACTCATCTCCTCCCCAAAAAAAACAGACCTAAGCTCTTACCCACCTGAATTTCCCTGTCGACTAGACAATTAGGCCCTGTTTGGCAACGTTCCATGAGAACGTTTCTATCGTTCCCGGTGTTCTCGCAGAGCAGGAATGCGTTTGGTACAAAAAAAAAATGAAAGAAACAATCTATTTTCACGTGAGAACACCCAAAGAACGTGTTCTTTGGGAGTGATAAACCGACACTCTCAAAGAATGTGTTCCCAGAGAATGTGTGGTTATCACAACATTAATGCATATTAATGACCACGTGTCATCAATTCCCACATGAGAGAAGGGGTATGTTTGGTATTTCACACGAAATGATAGAAACAAGCCCTAAACAACCACCTTTCATTCATTCGACACTACCTCATTGCCATTGCACATCTCAGAGGAAGGAACTCCCTTGGCTCCTGTTGCGTCAAAAACCGGACAACAAGCGAACGGTACAAATCCCTGGCGACATTTCCAACCAGATTCATGGAAACAGGTAGGTGCATTCCTTCTCGTCGTACCTTGTTTACTCATTATTGCTCTAGCTAGATTCAACCAAACTAATCTCCGACAACAATCATCTCTAACAGATATTGAGTTTCTATCATCTGAATTCATTTGTTCACATCAAGAAATAGTTTCATTATCCAAACGCCATTCCTGTTTCTGTAGAACAAAAATGCGTTCTCGATAAACATTTTGCCAAGCGCCTCTTTACTCCCGAGGAAAAAGAAATAAAATTCTTATTCTAGCACAGGAATTTCAAAAAGAACAGGAATAGGTGGAAGCATTGCCAAACAGGGCCTTAATCTCCACTTTTTCCCCTTCTTACCTCCTCACCAATGCATTTGTAAAGAAAACACCAATTTGGGGACAAGCACAATTAAGGCCTTTTCTTATACACCTTGTCCAAAGTATCAACCTTCCCAAGGAACACTTCCGAGCAAAAACCGGAGACCAATGGGGGAATGGGCTTAGTCCAAACTTCCTTAACAGGAAAAGGGTAAAGAGACAGAGGCCAAGCAAACGATTTTGAAAAAAGAAGCAAATGAAAAGGAACCTTTAGACAAAGGGAACCAAACCCTTTCATCGACTTAAGGGGGTTCAGACAAACATTAGCCAAGAGAAGCAAGAATTCTGTCACACAAGTCAATTCTGCCACCCTTAAACCTCTTTTAAACCCTAAATCCCAATTTCATTGACTTAAGGGGGTTCAGACAAACATTAGCCAAGAGAAGCAAGAAGACTGTCACACAAGTCAATTCTGCCTCCCTTAGACCTCTTCTAAACCCTAAATCCCAATTCAAAGAATCAATGGTGATAGGAGAAGAAATACACTTGGCCACAATCTCATTCTTCCTCAGGGAAACCAAATAGAGAGAAGGAAATAAATCCTCAAGGGCTGAACTACCCACCCAAATGTCTTCCCAAAACCTCACCAAATTCCCACAACAAACACCATACCTGATATAACAAAGGAATTGAGAGTGAATCCTTGAAATCACTTTCCACGATGAAGCAAAGTAGCCTAACGAGATGAGCCAACATCCCAACCATGTATACTACTTATAACCTCCTGTCACAAGGACCCTCTCTCTCAAGGCCACCTCCAAAGCCATTTGCCCAACAAATACGTATTCTTACACATTAAGTTTCCTAGGCCCAAACCACCCTGCTCTTTATTCCTACAGACCAAATCCCATCTTACTAAGTGATCCCTTTTCTCCTCCCCAGGTTCACAAAGAAAATTCCTCATCAGTCTCTCTAACCTCTTTGCTTCCTTAACAGGGACTCTAAAGATAAAAGAGAAAATAAACTAGTAAGTTGGCTAAAGTGGCCCTAATCAATTTAACTCAACTTTCCAAGGAGATTGAATTCTTCTTCCATGAGGCCAACCTTTTTTCAAACTTTTTTTGAATGATCAAAAAGAAATTTCATTAAATTGAAAAAAAGGAAGTACATCTCAACACCATTGGTTGTCAAGTTGACACACCAGATACACACTAGAAATCAAATTGAAAAAGAGTCTTCATTACAAGGTTGTAAATCAAGGGTGCTCTAGATTCAAACTTCTCCAACACCGGATTCCAAAAACGACTCTCTTTATGGTTGCACCAAGAGGAGACATAAGTAGGACATAGGCCAAGAGATGGGGCAATCTAAGCACTCTGCAATAGACCCAACAACCCTATCCTCCGGATTAATGCCCACTACACAACTTTTGGGCCAATTAATCTTCAAATTGGATACACTTTCAAACAAAAGTATCAAATCCTTAAGGTTCCTCACCCTCTATAAACCATCCCCTTCACAAAAGATTATATCAAAAAATTGGAGGTGGGTGATTGGAAGATTGCTCCTACCAATTCTCCAACCCTTAAAAGGCATCATCATCATCTGCTTTTGAAATTAGTCAGCTAAGCACATCAGCTACAAGGGTGAAAAGGAAGGGGTGATAAAGGGTAAACCTTGTCTTAGTCCTCTAGAGGCTGGAAAGAAAATCTTTACAACACCACTAACTAGCACGGAGTAATGGCAAGAGCTTATACACCCAAAAATTCATTTACACCACCTTTCTCATGGCCTTCAAACCCAATTGGTGTGTTCCAAAATTAGGGGGTTTGCTTTTGAGGGGTTGTCATCTGAGAGAGTTAAGTATGAAAGGGTAATGTTGTGAGGCTGTATTCTGCATGCTATTTTCCGGCCATCATGAATAAAAAGAAATACTTGTACTTTTGAATAGAAGAACCCTGTTGAAGCAGTTGATCTATTCCTAACCCTATGTGGAGCTAGTGGATTTGTGGCTCACAAATCACTCGTTATTCAGGGATATGCACAGAACTCATACTGACTTTTTATTATTTTTTAAACACTAATGTTCCAGACCTGCTGTTTTGTACAGAATTGCATTGTACAGGGGCTTATTATATAGCTATGGTCATTAATACAATACTTCTTCAAAAAAAAAAAGTTCTTTAATAAAATAAAAAGGTGTCCATATACTTCTCATTCCAGAAGGAAATGGATCTTTAGAACAATTAAAGTGCAGTAATATGATATAGTATAATATAATGGATCTCTAAAGGACTCAGCAACACGTTAACTATAAGATATCATTGACCATGTATATTAAAAAACAGTCAATCCTGCTCTATGCAGTCTACATAATTAAATCACTTGCTAGAGAGGGATTTGGGCATCCTTCCACTATATACTTGGTTTCCTTAATATTAGTTCTGCTTTTCCTTACCAAAGAGCACTTCAACTTCACTTTCCGTGGTTTAAAATGTCCCTAATTTCCTAAATATTTTCATGACATATATCCATTTCCATGGGTAGTGACACGAAATTTTACTAGAATCAACATATTCCCCAATGAACACTACCAGAACTATATGGAGTACAAGAGATGGTTTCCACAACATATTCCATTTCCACATCCATGTATAGCATCATGAAACTTTGCTGGAATCAACATATTCCCCAGTGAATACTACCAACACTATAAAGAGTACAAGAGATAGTATTATAACATAAGTTGGTGACAATATTGTAGATATGTAGAGCAACAATACTATTGCCTTCCTAACTTACATGATTACCATTTTTAGCTAGCTCAATATTCTTTATCAGCAAAAAAATTGTCATTAATTAAAATATGTGGAGTTGATTACAGACTGATGACCTAATAGTCATCCCAAGGATTACAACCCAAGTTACAATGAGGCCCAATATAGTTGCTGCCTTGCATCCCCTTGTTTGGAGCTCAATAATCATTTCAAACATGAAGTTAAATGTTGGCCTCCAGATTTGAGCTACCCATGAAGTAACAATGTTGGCCACCAGATCGTTGTGTAGCTATGGTATATCATATCATGGTATATATATATATATATAAACTAACAAAAGTAAATAGAACGTGGTTTATCTGCTTTCTCTTGTCTCTTTGATATTTTATCACCTTGGATTGTAATTTTTTCCTTTTTTTGATTATTGAAATTTAATTCATTACTCAAAAGAAATATCTGTTACAAATAAGCCAAGAGAGAACCAGCAGAAGTTCGCATGATCTTTAACCATTCTACTTTCTCTTGGCCTACAAAAAGAGGGAGACTTATGTGGAAATGTTCTCGCACTGCACTGATTTGGACTCTTTGGGAAGAAAGAAATGCTAGAATTTTTCAAGAAAAGGAAATGAGCAGTCAGGAATTGAAAGACTGTGTGTTGCATAGGGCAATACTTTGGCTGAAGACTTTGGAAATCTTTCACCAATTCTCTTTTAATGACCTTTGGAGAAATTGGTCGGCAATAGCAAGGTGTTCACCCTTAAAAGACAAAGTTAATTGCAAGTTGGTCTCCTCCATCTGAAGGCTCATTGAAGTTGAACTTTGATGGAAGTAGCATGGGTAATCCAGGATTATCTGGAATGGGGGGTGTTTTGAGAAATGAGAATGGAGAGATTGTGTTGCTCTACTCGGGTCCTTTAGGAGTTGGAGACTCTATCAGGGCAGAGCTATTGGCTGGGGTACAACACATCTAATAATTGAAGGGAATTCCAAGGTGGTGGTGGGCTGGTTGAAAAATCCTGAAGATGCTATATGGTGCTACAAGAACGAAATGAAGAAATTCAGTTGGTTGACAGGGAATATGTTGGTCTCTTTATAGTGGGTGGGGAGATCAGCAAATACTTTGTCAGATGTGTTAGCCAAGCAAGGGGTAAGTAGGGAAGAATTGTATGGGCTCAACTGTGATTCCTGTATTTCTTTCCCAGTTTACTTGTAAGATTCAAGGAGGGGCTGCAGCTCGCACCTCTCCTGAGATGTTGTATGAATTCACAACTCTAAATCAGTTTTTGAATTAATAAAATTTACTATTCCTCATAAAAAAAATAAGCCCAGAGAGAGGCTCAAGGTGCAGCCTCACTTTTTTCCATTTCTTTCCTTCTTTATGCTTTTCTTTACTATCAAAATCAGGGGGTTTAGAACCCGAAGAGAAAAAAGAAGCAAAAAGAAACTGCCACAGCATATAGCCATATACACACGCATCATGTTTGGGAAGGAGTTACTAGTTTGCCATAATATAAAACCCACATAACTGCCTAGTATTTGACAACCTTGATAGCAGCCAGCTTGAAAACCATAACTGTAAAATTGTATAGTGCAGGATAAGATCAATATGGGCATGACTTACTGCAAACTCATTCACTTCACGCAATTTGGCAGCTAACTCCTTCAAATCCTTGACATCTTCCACAAGCTTAAAAGGTGTACTCTCTAATGGGAGTGGTTTTACTGGTTCAACATTCCCAGTTTTTCTATCAACAAAATCCCGCTCTGAGAGTTCTTCCTGTATAAACAAGGAAACCATGAAATGTGAATCCCAAATAAGCAAAATGAATACCTAATTAAGCAAGCTACCGCAAAGATCAACACAAAGAAGGAAAATAACAAACTAGACCATTACAAACAAGTAAAACAAAGTTGACAAAAGGATGCATAGGTGAAACTGACAATGTAATAGCATCTAAGTACACCATTCATCATACAAAGAATACTTTGTACTCGACCAAAAAGGCCATATATGAAATTGGCAACTCACATTGTAGTTAGTATGAGGAAACTAACAAAGATGACATAGTAGATCAACAGTTAGCAATATCTGTGTTGATTAAACCCTAACAAATAAGAAAATAATAAAAAGAAATTAATATATAAACACACAAAAGGAATATTTTAGTTATTGATAAAAAAATGAATATTTTAGTTTAATAATCTATTTTATAATTATAATCTCAAAAAAATTAAGAATATAAAAGTATTTTATAACACAATATACAAAACTGCTTGGCGACTAGGCTAGGCGAGCCTCCAAGGGCACCTTGTTGCATAGGCATCGCCTTGACAACTATGGTAACTATTTTCTCATTATAGTAGCAACTCTCTTTTTTTTTTTTGATAGTTGAAAGATAAATTTATTAACCAAAAGATTGGGAAGTTACAAGCAACCAAAGGAGAGGCACGAGATGCAACCACTCCTTTAAAAGATCAAAAATTCTCAAAGTTAATCAAAGTACAAATTACAAGGTAGCACAAAATAAGGAATCCCGAGAAGGCCCTTGTTTAGCAAAGGAATAGGCCAAACTATTTGTCATTCTGCCCACCCATTGAATTCTAACGGTCATACTTTTAGTTGGCCATTTGACCTTTTTGAGAAGATCCCTGTAGCACTAAATGACAGAATCTGGGTCAAATAGCCACGCCACAACCACCTTAAAATCACATTCAATTAATAAATTCTCCACCCCATGCTGGTGTGCAAGTTGGGATCCCTCGCTTACTTTCAGGAAATAGGATTTCAATTCTTCACCTTAAAGGAATGTGGTCAGGCTAGAGTCTTCCCCCCCCCTTCAAACACGTGGTTTCCCAGTTTTACAGGAAATAGGATTTCAATTCAACTTCCCACTTTTTCAGGAAATTGTATTTCAATTCATTCATGGGATAAGCCCACCTTGGTTACTTTCAGGAAACAAATTGTCAATCCTGTGTAATCTAAATTTCAAAAAATGTTTTCAACCACCTCAGTACCTCACCATCACGTTCACGTCAAAGACTACATGACATCCACCAACAGTCTACATTCTCAGTCAATTTGCTTATCATTCTCCCTCTGAACCGCCTATCGTTCTCAGTTAATCTGCATCAAGTCTGCAATTTTTCAGGTATCAACTATACCTATCATTCTCCCTCTGATCACTCTTCTTCTGATCTGAACTATTCAAAATTTTCTACAGTCTCTGGACCAAATCTGTATCAATTGTGCAATTTCTCAAAGTAACTCTCCCTCTGATCATTCTTCTTTCTAATCTGAACTATTCGAAAATTTCTATAGATAGGCATTTTTCTAAAACTTCATAAATTTCTATAGATATGCATTGGATAAAGAGCCATTGTATGTGGATTATTTGACTTTCAAGTCAAATTCAATTATGTCATCTTAAACTGCTATTGTATAAGTGGTAAGTTCTATTGTTTTAGGTACATATATGGTAAATATGACTTAAAATAACACTTTTCTATATATTTTGTCTTTTAGCATACCTACATTTAATTTTTGACAAGTTTGTAAAAAAATAGAAATACTCTTACGATTTACTATATGTTTCACAATTCGATTTGATTCAATTTTCTCTATGATTTTAGATACAATTACTATTTTCAGAACATTTGTTGAAGGGATTGACCAAAGAGGTAAGAAGGGGAGAGAATGAAAAGCATGATAAAGTGGAGGTAATTCTCTTGGAAATGTCCAAAAAAATGAAACTGAAAAAGTTGAGGAGATTCAGGGGAGAACAATAAGTGTCCCAAGAGAGGAAATTGAAAAGAAAAAACTTGAAGAACATCAAGGGGAAGAATAAGGGTGGAGGGGATAGGAGTTAAGGTTGTTGGTGGTAATGATTGCAACCAAGGAGGAGGGGTGAGTTAGGAGGGGAAGAGTTAGGAGGGGAAGGCAAATGTGAACCTCGTTTAGAAGGGAGGGTTGTAGAAGCGGAAAAAGGGAGAAGTGGAGGAAAAGAGGTGTTGATGGGGAGAGAACCAAAGTGGGATTAACAAGGGAAAGGAACCAGTGGAGGAGTTAGCAAACAGATTGGGCTTGAAAGCAGATTCCACGAAGGAACTTAAATCTTATTTTAGGAAAGCTAAGGAGGTGGGTAAGGTGGGAGGCAAGAAGAAGAAAAGGAAAATGAATAGAGATGTCTTTACCCTTGTTTCTCAATCAAATCAAGTATGATTTATCCTCTAGCAATGGGGTGTAAATCTGGAAAGATGTTTGGATTCGAGAGTCCATGTTTAAATAGGTTTTCCTTCTTCTTATGCCATCTCTACTCTTAAAAATAAATCAAACTCTGAGTTTGTCTACCTTCTCCTTCTCTTGGTCTTGTTTGAATTTGGGCTTTAGAAGGAATCTGAGAGAGTCTGAGTTAGGTCCTAATTTTGGTCTTTTGAACTTGTTGGATGGAGTGTCTCTTGACAACTCAGAAATGGATAAACATTTGAGGGTACCAAATTCTAAGGGTAAATTTTCTTGTAGGTCCTTTTTTAATATGTTGGTTAGGGAACCCCCCCCCCCCCTTCAGGTCCCTTCCTGTGATGTGTTACAAAAGAAAAGACCAAGCCGACCGCTTTCTCCTAGCTGGTGCATCTTGTGCAAATTGAATGGTGAGACTGTTTTCCCCATTAATCTCCTGTCATTGGCTTGTTATATTAGGAATTGGTTTTCTGTTCTTTTTGGTTGTATGAGATTCTCCTGGGATATTAACTAGTTCTTAAAATATCATCTAATGCTGAACGCAGACATCATAAAATTGCAAATAATTTCTAGACACCAACACCTATTGAGACACATCAATTAAGATTAAGAAATTGACCTAAACAAGGATTAAGTTACTGCAGGAAAATATATCACAGATGCAATCAAAATCAAGATGAATACCAGTTTTTAAACTATCCAATTATGCCTCTATATAATCATTCAAGTCTTCCTCAACACTCACCAAAAAAAGGCTTCCAGACCTATTCATTTGAACTGTACACCATGAAAGAAGAAGCTATTCATAAATTCTTTTATCAACATATGTCCTAATACATCTATATTTAAAGGCATAGAATATTTTCTTCTTGGTGACTTATGGAAGACATGTCACCAACACTATACATAAGCAAGAACCATGAAAAGAAACAATCAACTCGAACTAAAGTTATGTGATGGGAGTAATCAAATAAAAACCAACCAGAGGATGTAAAAATCTACTCCCATCCTCGCTTTTGCGCAACCAGACATGGTCGAAAGGCTGATTCGAGTTGTTAACCAATATACTGAATTCATCTTGAGGTCGAGGAATGGTTGGTATATGGAATGGCACGCGCGGTCGTGCCCCAGTAGTTTTTTTGTCCCTCGAAGCCACTTTAACCGCCGTGGAAGGATTTGAATCATGCTCCTCCTTTTTCTCCATACTACGACTAACTCCCTTTTTCTTCTTCCCATAAACCAACTGAAACCCATCGTCAGTATTCATCGAACTCATACTCCTCCCGCTTTCCTCTTCTTTCTTCCTCAATCTCTGAAACTCATCCATCGAAACATCACATCTCTCAAGGACCTCGTCACTAACATTAACCAGCCAATCATAAGCTTCCTCTGAATCCTCCGGAAAAATCAATTCTTTCCCCCAAAGTGACCTCGACGAACCAATGCTTTTCAACAACGATTCAGACTTTTCGGCTATTTCCCTAATAGGTGTCTTGAACTCGTCGAAGTTGTAAAAGAAATGAAAATCCTTGTCCGAAGGAATACCTCTTGAAGAACCTGAAAGCTTCGCAATCGAAGATGATAAAGGACCAGTAGCCAACGCTTGCAGAGTCTCCGCCTTTTTCTTCGATGACTTCTCCATCCCCATCTCCATTGCTTCGCTGCCCATTTGCATCAAGAAGAAAACGATTGTCTAGGGTTTCGATTCAGCAGCCACCGCAGGTTCAAGAATATATGTATCGAGCATAGAACATTTGTGTACGGATCTAGAGTTCGTACTTTCTAGGGCCTCTCTTGGTTTATGGTTTAGGGTTTAAGTGCCGCCATCAACCATTAGAACGACCTCCAAACATTTTCTCTGGTTTTGCTTTTCAAAGTCCATACGAAACGTGGAATAAGAAGTAATAAAGCTCGCTCTCTAACCTCTCTCTGCAATTTTGGATTAATCGTTCAATCCACTTTAGGACTTGATTAGCGCATTGTTTTACCGTCACGTAGGGGTGCAATTTGGGCGGGCTCAACCCGAACCCGCTCCAATTTAATCCGGTTTTTTGCACGGAGTTTAGTTGGATTTTCGAACCTCAGGTTGGGCCTAGGCATGAAAAATCATGTTATAATAATCTATATCTCTATTAAGGTTATGTTTGGTTTGAAAACATAGGAAAACTTATGTAAGGTTTGTAAAGATTTCCCTATATTTTCCTTCCTTTCACTACTTTTTCCTTCAAAGCAAACATAGCCTAAAAGAATGTGGTTAAGCTAAAGTTTGCCCCCTTCAAACATGTGGTTTCCAGTTTTACAGGAAATAGGATTTTAATTTAACTTATTCCCAGTTTTGCAAGAAATAGTATTTCAATTCATTCATGGGATAAGCCCACCTTGCTTACTTTCAGGAAACAAATTCTCAATTTTGTGTGTCATCTAAATTTCAAAAAATTATGTTCACATCCAAGATTGCACATGACATCCACCAACAATCTGCATTCTCAATCAATATGCTTATCATTCTCCATCTAAATCGACCTATCATTCTCTCTCTGAACTACCAATCATTCTCAATCAGTCTACATCAAATCTGCAATTTTTAAGGTATCGACTATACTTGTTATTTTCCCTCTTACATTCTTCTTTTGATATGAACTATTCGAAATGTTCTACAATCTCTGCACCAAATCTATATCAATTGTGCAATTTCTCAAAGTTACTCTCCCTACCATTCTTCTTTCTAATCTGAACTATTCAAAAATTTATACAGTCTCTAGACCAAATCTGCATCAATTGTGCAATTTCTCAAAGTTACAGTTTCTGCAATTCGCTTTTTATTTTACCCATCCACTTTGGTTTGCAGGGTGGTCTTTTAATTTGCTAAGATTTCACATCGCCTATCCACACCATCTTGCCTATTTGTAATTGTATATTGCATCTAGACCTATTCATGGGCCAGGTAACCCGAGGGCTGGTCCAGCCCGGCCCATCTTAAATCAGGTTTGGACAAAATTTTATGCATGTGTGCTTGGGCTCAAGGCTTCAGGCTTTATATAGGGCTGGGTTCAAACTCAAGATTTAGGCCCGATCATCAGGCTAGCCTCAGGCTTGGGCCTAGTAATTTTCTATTTATAAGGAGGCAAAGCCCAGCTTGGCCCATGAACAGATCTAATTGTGTCAATAGAAGCATGTGACACGTGCTATTTGTGCATCTAAGCAAAGCACAAGTCTTAACTACTAATTAACTAGTTAATTGTACTGAAAAAACAGTTAACAATTTATTGGGTTCAATCTTTCACATTTTCCAATGGGGAGGTTCAGTACTTCAGTAGACAGGATTTGAGGATCATATTCTAAACATGTTATAGTGGTGAAGTATTACTTATGCAGTTAAATTTAATCTAATGAGAATGAGAATAATAGAAAATTAATAATAAATACTATTATATTATTAATAGAAAAATAATAATATTAGCAATTAATATTCTTTGTTTTGGTTAGAAAGATGTACACAATTTGTCTCAGCTTTCATAGGAGTTTTTTTCTAAAATTTCATAAAGTTTTATATTATTTTAGCCACTGGTTTGGTGGGTTCATTATAGTTTAGGTTAAAATAAAGGAATGTGCTAATTCATTATTAGTGAACTAGTAGTGACTCGTGTGATGCACGAGATTTGTTAAGAAAAAGATAAACAATATAAACATATAAGAGTATACAATTGTTTTGTATTTTTAACTTTTTAAATAATTATTAATTATTTATATTTTATATTGTAATTTTAATAATTTTTCTACAATACAAAAAATAACAATAATTAATTTCAACTATGGTTGTTCATCAAACTGTTGAAACCGACCAACTTGACATGAATTAGTCAATTTTCTAGGATTTCTTATTGACGTTGGTTCAATAATTTCCCAATCCAATTAGGTTGAGTCAATTTTGCTTTGGCCAATTGTAAATCGAACGACTTGGCCATATATACATACTAATATTTTATATTTTTAATATAATTTTTTAATACGGGAAAGTGGGAAAAATCCATATTTCTTAATCTAAAAAATTTTATATCATAAATTTATTTTTTAATTTATTTGTTTAATAATGCTACTATAATTTTTTTAATTTAAATTTAATTTTTTAAGTTTAAATCTTTTGAACCGACCAAACCGAAAATCAACCCAAACAAATACAACCCAAGTTGGTCGGTTTTCACTAATGGTTAGTCAATTTTGGGTGACCAATTCCCCAACCTGACCAGCTTGATTTGGTTGGCCAAACAACCTATAATCGAGCCAAACTAACTTGGTGAACACACTCCCTATTCCCCAATTGACAATCAAAGTCACGAAGGCTCTATCTCATGCTACTCGGGCTACCAAAGGTGGCTTTGAAATGGTTCACAAAAGCTCTTACTATATCCTATTCCCTTGTAAGCAATTTCCTATTCCACTCCATCCTTTCCACAAGGCTCTTCATTTTCTTTTAGTCGCCATAGTATGAAAAAGTTTTGTATTTCCACCCCTTCCTTTAACCATTTGCATCTAGATTTTTGTCTTTGAACCACTTCATATCTTCTAATGATTTCTTCCAATTAATGTTTCAATTTCTACCTTTCTACCCTATCATCCTCCCTCAACCTTCTCTCAACTTCACCCACATCAATTTCTAGAATACTTGCACCAATCCACTCCTTCCTTTCTTCCACTCTTCCAAATTCCTCTTTATGCGAAGCTTTGATCTAGCTTTCAAGGACTGTTGCTTTTTGTAATGTCTTTGGCCTTTCCACCGAAAATCCATATGGTCTTTTTCCCACCACTCTTTTCATTTTTTTAATAAATTTAAGATAAAGCAACTACATATTCTCAAACCTAAACGGGCAGGGTCCCCCTCATACAATTTCTTGGGAAAGTCTAACTGGGCAATGATCTAAAGTTGATCTAGGTAAGGCTCTCACCACAAAACCCCTCCAAGCAATTTCCCAATCCAAAGAGAATAAGAACCTATCCAACTTGCAACAAATGGGATCCTCTTGGAAATTGGATAAAGTGAAATTTTCTTATAGCATAAGAAACTCTCTCAACTCAAAGGTACCAACAAAGAGGTTGAATTTTCTTATGCCAAAGGTGATCCTATGATTAAGGTTATTTGTTTCATTTATAAATCTGAGAACATTAAAATCACCCCCACACACTAAGGACCTTCCAAAAGACCACTTATAGTTGCTAACTCCTCCCAAAATTCTTCTCCTCCTTATAAGAGTTTGGTCCATAAAAATTGGTTAAAGACCCTTTCAATCCATCGACCCACCTTAATTTAATTATAACTATAAAATTATTAATAAATTCTTCTGTACACTCCGGAGGTGTTCGGCATCGTGGAATGTCCACAATATATTGCGTCACACCACAGGCCAAAATCTCCTAAATGGATTTTTCTCGTGGATCAAACCACACAACTATCATTCATTGATCCTGTGTTTCACCTATAAATTTTATCATATGTAACCCTTTTTTTTTACCGTTGCAATATACCGCTTGCCGCTGCTTGCTTCTGGCGTTATGGGCTTGTCGCTGCAACTCCGACCATCAGTGCTCACTTGCTTTTGCAACTTCAACCTTGCTGCACCAAACTACCATTGGTAAGTGCTCCTTCTCCAGCTACCCTTGGCTTCTTTTTTATTTCTTTTGTATTCTTTTCCTGCAAACATACGTTGGTGTTCGTATTCAACCTTGTTGCATCAACCATCAATGTTCTTTTTCAAAACTTTAGATTTGTGTTCGTTGGTGTTCTTTTTTGTTGGTGTTCTGCTTTTTTGTTTTTCTTAACTTTTCCCGCCCCTCTGGACCAAAGATTGAACCTCATGGAATAGTTATTACAATGAAAAAAATCAGCATGATCTCAAATGAGTATCTGTTTTCTAATATTTATTATAAAAGAAATTTGGGTTGCTGACTTGGTAAAAAATTTGGGAATGAAAAACAATGAAAAAAATCAGCATGATCTTGATCGTGGTGTAATGGAATCTGTTGTTTGTACTGTCATCCTAATTATACTCCATACCTTTCCCTACTATCCAGTTTTGTGGAAAGTTGGGTTTGTTGGAATTATTTTCTATCAAATACCATTAGAAAAAAACAAAAACAAAAACTCTAAGAGTGGGGAAAATGTTAGATAGTATATGCCCTTAGCTTCAATCAGAATGATGTACATTATGACATTTATTGTAAATGAATAAAGTACATATTTGATTTATGTTATTATGATGTGTTTCTGTGTAATACCCTTAAACTGGACACATATGAGACTCATATTAGTTTATAATCTTCATAGCCGTTGGATAGATCTAGGGAGATTTATCCTGCCAAGGCTGACACTGATGTGCTGCCAAGTTGGTTGGGGTGGCTTGTCTCAGCTACTAGGGTGAGACATAAGGTAAATACAGTGTGGGTTTTCTTGAAACCTTGAACCGGACCAAAATTCCAGTATTGCCCTGAACCTTGGAGATAGATGGGCAAAATTGAAATGTTACACCTGACCCCTAGACTCGACTATGATACTGCACTAGGTGTCGGATTGGGCTATCTTTGATATGCCAATCAGTGAGATCCTTAGAGGGGGTCAAAACCTGGGTATGTTGGGACAATCCGAGAATTCATCTGAGTGGGTAATCATAGTGACAAGATCAGCCCATTTGTCGGACAAAGTGAATGATTGGGGATGCACTCTCTCTAATGGAAACCAAAGCTGCTGGCAGCCGATTTCAATCGTTGAAATTTGTTTTTGCAAAATATATTTATATAGAGATATACATATTTGTTTTTGCAAAGCTGCTGGCAGCCGATTTCAATCGTTGGAATTTCAATCATTGAAATTCTCGGGATCCATGTGAGTAGAGAGTGCAACACTGTTCCTTGCAGCCGAGGGAGAGGTCCTCTCTTGTCGAGCAGTGATTGATCATTATGGGCTGAGAGGTTAAGTGTAAGACCATTGAAGGTAATACCTGATGGGCCAATCTTGCATCTGTCCACAGTCATTGGTTTTTTATAAGGTGGCTTGACCTAAGGACCACTTAGTGTAAGTGTTGGGCCCGTTAAGAGCCCATGGTGATGGGCTCAGGGGTTCATTGTTTCCTACAGTGAATTCGGCCAGGCCTTGTAACAGAGGCCGGGCTGAACCCAAGTGACTGATGTGTAGATCAATGTTTGGGTCCCATGCCATACAAGGATACCCAATTGGGCAATAGTTTGGAGGGCGAATGAGCACATGGACTTAATGGGCCTAAAGCCCAATTCAAACTGGTATAATATGATTATTTAAAAGGGAGTGGTTATGGGATTTAGATCAGCAGATAGGATAGGGAGTTATCCCTATACACTCAGAGAGTCCAGATCCAAATAAAGATTTGGATTAGGAAACTCCTCATAAGATTAGGAGGGCTGATCTTTATTTGCAGATAAGATAAGGGTCTATCCTTATCTCTTAAAGAGAGTCCAGATCCAAATAAGATTTGGATTAGGAAACTCCTAATAAGATTAGGAGGAGCTCTCTTTAAGGTTATAAATGGAGGAGGAGGGCGAACCCCAATTCACCCAAGCTGGTTATAGACTCAAGAGAGAAGACAACTCCAGTAAGACTGACGCCATCTTCTACTCTTGCCTCCCTCTATTGCTGCCGCCATTGCTAATTCGTTCTCCACCAGTAGGAGTGATCAAGAAGTGTTCTTGATATCAGTTTTTTGTGAAAAACTGATATGAAGTCGTGCTCTCGCACCCTCCATCAAATACTTGCTGAAGAATTCGGTTATTGCTGAAGAACCACTGCTGATTTTGCTCCACCCTACGCTGTGCCATCTTTAGTGGGAGCAGCCTTTGGCATTTTCCTAGGACGTGAATACCTTCGTTGGGAGTTACTATTACTCCATATCAGGTACATCTCTCTTCTACCTTTTGGTTTCAGATCTGGTCCGGCTTAGGGTTCAAAATTGATTCTTGAAAATGCAGTTTTCTAAAACAGGGAATGTGATTCCCATATGGGTTCGGCTATCCATACGATGGATCTCTCATCCCTTCAGAAAAAAACATTATAGAACATACATAAACAAACAAAACAAAAATCATTTTAGCAACCAGATAAATCCCATAGAAAGAAAAACAATTAGCCATATATATACAAAGCACTAGGCTTAAAAGTCTCATACTGAAAGCTGGAAAGCCACCTAGAGAGAGAGAGAGAGCATATGGAAAAATGATAAGAAATAGAAAGAAAAATGTGGGTTTCTTGGCATAAACCAACAAGATAGTTTAGTGAAGACAAGCAGTTTATGCACATACTTCAACCTTCAAAACATGGTGGACATCAATTTTACAAACTTCATAGATCCACTTACATCTTGGATTATGCTGAATACATCCTTGATGGCCAATGGTATAATACCTGGAGAATTTTGATCTCCATGTCAAATAAATAGGTAAAAGAGTCAAAAATAAGATATAAGAGCTCTGACTTCTTTCTTTACCGGCAACAAGTACACATCTGAGCCATTGACCCATACTCATAGGGATAAGAGAAGAGGAGTTTCATCTATAACTTTTACCCATCTATCCGGATAATAACTAGTAACCAGCCTTTTCTCCTTGTTTTCTTCCCAACCTAGGAGAAAAAGCCTTATTTTCGGGAGAGTCAAATGCAACCTTAGAAACATTACTCAAGTTTGTTTTTCTACTTATAAACATTATTATTCCAGTCAAAGTTCATAAAGAATGTTGCAAAAAACACTTGATGGTTTTCTAGTCTAAATGTTTAGGCTATGTCTGGTGTGATAGAAAATAAGAGAGAGATAATGAAGTTAAGAACTTTGAGTGCATATCAATACAGAGTGGAGTGCAAGGGTGATGCGGTTAGAGGATTAAACATGTGGCAACTTTAGATGGTGGAGAGTTTGGATGATCAACTGCACCATCTACCCACATTGCAGAAATAGAGTTGGTCGTGCAGGGAAGTTACTAGGAAACCTTTTCCCAAGAGTCATCACTATTTGGATAATCTAATTCATAAAGGTGATACAGGGGCCCACTTAATGGACGGTTGGAAGCAATAAAAGGACACCTGAAAACCATCATGAAGTGAAATCATTTGATACTGGCACTCTAGCATTCAAATCTACAGATTCATCATATAAAATTATCTTGGGTAGAAAAGAAAAACTTAAATTTAGATCATTTCCTAAAGCCTTGAAGGTAGTTCGGATAAACTTTTGCCTTTATGTTGAGCATTTGGTAAAAATTACTTTAGAAAACATTATAATCTGAAGTCAAAACACAAGCCCCAAGCYACAAAGCCTAAAATTGGGTTTTTATCCTGATGCTCATCTAAGCACAGCCTAATCTGCTTATAGGCCAACACTCAACAGGGGTGTGCAACTTCTGCGGGCTTGGATTGAAGATTTGGTAAATGGGCTCAGCCCAAAGGTCAAAACATGATCTTGTGATGGCAAAAAAGAAGAATTTTTGGGTACTTAGGATTTGGGTTTATGGACACAGAGCATTTTGTTCCTTACTCAAATTTTCTTGCATTTTTTGCAATTTTGATGCAATTTCTGCAAATTTCATGCATTTTTATACAAAATTTCTGCAAATTTCATGCAAAATTCTGATTTTCTTGCAATTTTTTATTTTCTTGAAATTTCTGCAAATTTCATGCACTTTTTGCAATTTTCATGCATTTTTCTGCAATTATGTGATTTTCTTGTACTTTTTTGCAATTTTCTGATTTTCTTGCAATTTTTTTTTATTTTCTTGAAATTTCATGCATTTTTTTTGCAATTTTTTTCTGATTTTCTTGCAAATTTCATTCATTTTTTTATGCAAATTTCATGCATTTTCTGCAAAATTATTGTAATTTCTGCAATTTCTGCTTTTTTTGGTCTTTTCATGCATTTTCTACTTTTTTATTTTTATTATGGACAAAATTGGAAATCATGGTTGAAGTCGAGGAAAGGACATTCACTCCACCCACTCAAATTGTACGGAAATATATGGCCACCCAAGCAAATACAATGCAAGAGGAAATAGCAGACGAATCTGCAACATGGTGTGAGGTCGAGGAAAGGACATTCATAGAGTCGATGGTTGAACAAGTAAAAGAACATAATAGGCCAACATCAACTTTTAATACCGAAGGTTGGAGAAATATTGTGGAGAAATTCAACCAGAGGCACCACAAGTCATATAGTCAAGATCAATTCAAGAATAAATTTCACCATCTAAAGAAAAAGTTCAATGATTATCAAAAAATTTGCAACCATACAAGGGTCACCATAGATCTAATCACAAAGAAACCAAGTGCTAGTGAGAGTGTATGGGACTAATTTATTTCGGTAAGAATATTATGAGCATATATAGATTATTGTTTTTTATCGGTTTTAAATTATTAGTATGCTAACACCAAATATACTTCATGAAGAAGTATAAGTGTGCTAAGCAGATAAGGAAAAAGGGTTGCCCGTACTATGAGGAGTTGGAGATCATATATTCTGGGTCTAGTGCAACTAGTTTCAGCTCTATGGGCAATGTGGAGACCCCTTCAGAGGAAGAAAATGATCAAATACCACTAACACAAGAGTTGATTGGTAACAACTCCCTCAATGACATACAAACACCTTATGCCTCCACTCTAGACACCCCAAAAGGTGACATTGACATAGAGATTCAGCCAACTACAAACATGTTAACAAGAAGGGGTTCCCTACCATCATCTCTCAAGAAAGGGAAGAGAGCTAAGCAAGGAGGTGATCTTATGCCTACTATGGAGATATGGTATGAGATATCCAAACGTAGGATGTCCATGATTGAGTTTCAAATGGAGAGGCAGATTAGAAAAGATAAAGAAATGGAAGAACGGAGTAAGGAGAACCCAATCTCTAAAAGTATGGAAGTTGTGAATGAATTCTTGATGATGGGAGTCATCAATGTTGGACAAATCTTGAAGGCAGCTCAAGCCTTCAAGGATGAGTATGGAGGCATGCATTCTTGACATCTACTACAAACTACCAAATTGAGTGGTTGAAGAGCCTATAGACACGAAGTTATTAGCTCATTGGTTTGTTTTTTGGATATGTGATGTGGCATTTTGAAATTTTAAACATGTTAGGATGGATTACAGGGTTATATTATTTGGATTTTTTTTGGATAAACACACTATCTTTTTTTATTATGATTAGTTGAAGTATTATAATGACCGTGATTTTCAATTTGGCGATGAACTTTTAAGAACATAGATTATAATTTTTTAATGAATCTAGGTAGGGAATATAATGAATTTTGGTTTGCAATTTATCATGTTATATTTGTATATATTAAATATTGGTACTTAAATGTTATGTCTCATTGACAGGAATTCAATGGATAGCTCAAGTGTAGTAGATACACTTCTATTTGGTGAATGGGAAAAATGTGATAATGAATTTATTGAATTCATCCTTATGAATAAAATGATGAAATGTCATAACACATGTTTCCTTAAGTAACCTTATTGCACATCAAAGCTGAGTGGGCATGTTTTTGTCCATGAATATTTAGATGACCTAGAACACCCTAACAAAGTATAAGAATCTTTGACAAATTTTCTCTTAACTGTTGGCCATAATGAGCAATATCATATTATGGCCAACAGGTTCCAGCATTCTAAGAGCACTATTGGTGTTCACTTTAGGAGAACTTGCAAAGCAATATGTAGATTTGGGAGATAATTGATCTATCCACCCTTGTTTGAAGAGGTGCATCCTCACATTAGGCATTTGGAAAAATATTATCCATGGTTTCAAGTAATTCAATGACATTTCATAACAAGTCTACATATTTAGTGTATTTTCTATGTTTTGACCATGTGTTTGTCTAAATAGGATTGCATTGGTGCAATTAACGGTACCCATATGAGTGCATGGGTTCATCGGGAAGAACAAATTCCATATAGAGGAAGAAAATCGCGGTGCACTACAAAGGTGTTAGCAGTGTGCTCATTCGATATGCAGTTTACATTTGTTCATGTAGATTGGGAAGGATCAGCACATGACTCTAGAGTGTTTGCAGAAGTTGTATTGCGTCCCCACTTAGAATTCCCCCACCCTCTTCTAGGTAATATAATACAACCTATTTGTTGGTTTAGAAACAAGTTTAGGCCTAACTAAAGTATATGTTTGCATGTGGTTTTATATAGGAAAATACTATGTTGTAGATTATGGATTTCCCTTTGGTGATGGTTACATAACACTTTTTTCTGGAGCAATATCATTTAAATGATTTTTAGGGGACATCAAAGGTTTAGATCGAAGAAGGAATTATTCAATTACAAGCATTTTTCAGTAAGGAACATTATAGAGAGATGTTTCGGTATATTGAAAGGGAAGTTTCTTATCTTACAAAACATGCCATCTTTTGACTTACGGATGCAATGTTACATTGTTATGGCTTGTTTCATCACATACAATTTCATTAAGAGAGAAACTATTCACGATAAAGATATTGATACATGGTCAAGGGAGGACATGACAGTTAGGGATGAAGGTGAAAATTATGACGATGATACAGATGATGATAGTGAACAAATGGACTTTAGACCAACTAATGTTAGTGATAACATAGTTGATAGGATGTGGGAGCAATATCAATTGTACCGGTCTTATGCTTGACTTTTATGTTGCATGAAAATTTTAATTACATTTAATCAAATAAATGTATATTTTATTAATAATAAAGTTTTATATATTATTTTATTAATAAAAATATTATTTTATTTTATTAATAAAATATTAAGGTTCAAATATTATTTTATTAATTATTATTATTACTATTTTATTAATTATTAAATTTTGAATATTATTACTTTTTTATCATTATTAAAATTATTATTTATTATTAAATAATATTATTTAATGTTAATATTATTATATAATTATTAAGTTTTGAATATTACTTTTATTAATATTAATAATTAATATTAATTGTTACTGATATTATTACTTTTTATTAAAGGTTATTAATATTATAAAATATCATTAATTTTACTACTCATTTATTATAAATATTAATGTTATGTGTTATTTAATATTGTTAATATTAATTTTATTAATTATTAAAATTCTTAGCAATTTACTATTATTATTATATTATGTATATTACTAAAAAATAAAATATTGTTTTTTAATGATTAATGACATAGGTTATCTTGAATGTTGTAGCTGAAAAGCATGGAATCAAACACAAGGTGTGGACTAAAATGTACCACACCTTGTAGAGCGCCCATAGGGGTGTGGTGTGGATTGGTCCACAGTGTAGAACAACTACCTTGTTGGGGTGTCTGAAAACACACCACCTAATTTCTCATCTACGCTACAGAACACCCCCGGATCCATCTCTTCATCTTTCCAAATTATAATAATTCCTCATAAATCCCCCCTAAGATTGTGTATAATCCCAACTTAATCCTCTTGCTGACCACACTTTTTATCCACCTCCTATCTATTTCTTCTAATTTGGACTTCTATATTAAAACAATATCCTTCTTCTCTTTCCTAAAAACTTCCCTAATCAAAATTGTTTTCCTTAAACACCCCAATCCTCTTACATTCCAATTGATGAACTTCACAAGGAACAACTAAAGCAAATCTAAGATAATTCCCTTTATTAACCTAATTTCCTCTCCTTCCTCATTGCAGACCCTTTCTCATAATCCAACTTCACACCTAAGTCTCTCTACCTCACTCAACTTCTTCTTTCTCCTCTTTGACATCTCTTTTTCATTCTTATTAGGAATTTTATGAGTTGAGGCTTTCTCTTTTTTCCATCATTTCCTTCTACTCCCTTTTGACTTCTTTTCCCCCTCAACAACCTCTTTTTCCTCCTTGGCTTTCTTCGGGAAATAGAAAATGAAGTGTTACCCTCCTCAACTACTTGAAACCCGACCCCTAGCTCCTCCTCCACTAGCTAATCAAACAAAAGTATTATCACTTCCTAGATTCTCTCTCCTTCTAAGAGCTTTCTAAAGTCTCAACATCCCCTAACACTTCAGTTCCCGACATAGAACCAATAGAAATGGAAGCTTCTAGACAAGATGTAGACTCACCTGTAGGCCGAACAACAAGAGCATCTGGGGAAGGGTGGTTGTTAGTTGGAAGAGAAATAGGAAATGAAAAATCTTGACATAACATACCAGGAACATGGGAAATTGTAAGACTATCAGAACCAACAATGGTGCAACCAGGAAGGTTTGAGTTGGGAACTCCGTCCTCCAAACCAACCATTGCCAAGCTTCTAGAGGAAAGGGAAATGTCTATAGCCTTATTGACTAGAAGAGGGGAAATGGAAAACCAAACTACGGACCCTCTGGCTTTGTGTCATAATAGGAGTATGATTTTCTCTATCTAAAGTTGAGATTTTCACCTCACCGGAGGTAGAAACTTCCAGATTAGAGCACTTATTCAGAGGTCCCAAAGATTTTTGAACTAAGGTTGGCGAAGAACTACCAAACAATAGATTTGTGCACAGGTTCCCTTCCACCATGACTTGGTTACAAGATCTGCTCTCAACACTTCCTATTCTAGAGTCTCTGTAATCTTTATCGTCACTTTTCTCCTCCTCACAAGTCATTTTCATCGTCCTTTTTTCTTCCATACCTTGGATTTGGGTGCTCAAGGCTAGTGGAATAAGAGACTAGTCTTGGTCTCCATGCAAACTTTGCCTCTCAAACTTCGTTAACTGCTCTCATATTAATTTGAGCTTTCTATCTTAATCATACAGAATTAATTATCTTATATAGTGCCAATCACATTCACAAATCCATCATTAATTAGCATAGAACTTATACATCACATGAAATATTGCAAACTTAACGACTTTACACCATAGCTGACATCTTCCAACAACAATATATATCCTTGGGTGATTCTCTCTAGAAGTAATTCTCTCTAGAACAAAAATTAATTAGAACATTTCCTTGGGTGAGATGGAGAGAGGCCGAAGTGTAGAAGTTTTCTAGGGGGTGAACAGGTGAAAAACCGAGCTGAAGGTCGAGGCTAAGAGTTTTTTGTTCGAACTTGGAAGGGCTGGAGGTAGTAATATGTTGAAAATTAGAGAAGATAGAAGGGCGACAATAATCCTAACTGATGCAACAGTGTTGTGGTTGAAAGGTTTTATTTATGGAGTTACCTTTTCTATTAGGAAAAAAGGATGGAGGAATGCCTTAAAAGTTCACAGGAAGAGATATGAAGTGGAGCTAAGAAGGAATGGAAAAGGCCAGTTCATTAGCATCATTGAACTCTTTGATAATAGGAGGCAAATGGTGTGTCTTCCGGAAGGGAAGGAGGGACAGGGCTGGCTGGCTGTTGCAGATAAGTTACAGCAATATATCTTACATGTTGAGGGTGGAGTGACAAAGGTGCAGGATGCAAACATGGAAGATTCTTGTGAACATAAGCCCTCGAATCAGCTGGTAGTTGACAGAAGCGGTGAAGTACAAGAAGCTACAAAACAAAGCTCGTCTCATTGTGGAGAAGTTTTTGGTAGCTCGATGGAGGTTAAGACTCCTAATTGATGCGGAGAAAAATAGTTGGGAAAGGAGAATGGTCTTAACAGCTACTAAAGAGGTGAAGAACTGGAGAAATTTGCTGGATACATTGGCTTGTAAATTAGGCAATTCAACTGATATAGCTTTGAAGATGTTCTCTGATTGGAAGGCTATAATCGATGTTGGTGAAGGAGAGTGGGATTTCACCACCTTCAAGTTTGAACTGGGCTTGCTTCAGCTCCAAAAATGGAAGCCGCTTTGTAACGAACTGGAACATTCTACTGGTAGTTTCTCGCTTAAACTGTTTTGTCTTCCATTTCACCTTTGGAACGAGCCGAACTTGGAGAAAATGGTGAGGTTGTTGGGAGGAGCTGTGGTGGAGTTTAACCTTCAAGATTTTTTCGCTGCTGAGGTCAAGATTGCAGGGGTAAAACCAGAAATGTTACCTAGATCAGTTGAAGTGCTCTCAGAAGGATTTTGGTATCGTGTCTGGCTGGTTTCGGAAGTGGAAGTCTCTCTTTGGGGGAGAAGTTCCAAGGTTGAAGACGATGATGTGGCGGGTTGGGACACATGTGGCGCACATTCGGTGGCGAGCAACAGGGGCGTGCAGAGCAGTCCCTCTGGGGAAGCTGAAGACTTGGCAGAGGAAAACCAAGCCTTAAGTAATCTATTTAAGGCAAATAATTCAAAAATCTTCAAATTAGTAGGAGTGAAAGGGGGCCGGGCTTCCTATGCTGACGTGGCTGAAAGAGGAGGTGGGTCGGTCAATCTCAAGGTGCGAACCGGTGTCTCTGAACCAAACCAGAATAGGCCCGGTTCACTATTGGGGGTTAAAACCTGCCCACGTGATTTCTTAAGTGATCACGTGGGTAGGGGCAAGAGTCGCACGCATATAGACAGAAAAATCTGTCTATCTTCTTCTCCAACGAAGATTGGTAGGGTTGGTTTCGATCAGTTCTCGAAGATTGGTTTCAGATGGCCTTTACATTGGGTTGTGCACACAGACGTGGAGTCGCAATGTGTGACGTAGTCCTCTTCAAGCCGGTGACTCCCAAGTTGTGTATAAGTTTGTGCGTATGCAGGGGAGGAAGCAGAAGTTGGTTGGGTGGCTTGCAGTTGATAGCTATAAATATAACCCTAGCAAGTGCATTAGTTATCAAGTAGTATAAAAATATCGTTCCCACGAGAATTTAACAAAATAAGTATTAGAACTACAACCTTCCTTAATTATTTGGACAATCGAATTTCAGATTTGAAGATAAAAACTAATGAAAAGTAGAAAAAGGAAAACAAGAGCAAAAGTAACAATGCTGAAGTATGTAATGATTAGTTGAATTCGCTAAGGCTTTCGATGCACCTAACCATTCCAATGAATATTAATGGATGAGATTATCCAAGATAATTTGTCATTCCCATAAGCTGAAGTTTTTCCAATTTTATTTAATATTCTCTCTCGAGATATACTAA